GCAAGTCATCTATACACATTCTAGCCTCAGAATTTTTATTTGTAAAGTGGGGGTAATACACCTATCTTGCAGGGTTGCGGTGGGGATTAGCGATAAAGAGTTAAAAGCTCTTTAATGTTTGACACGTTAAGCAAACAAACACCAAACCCACTGCCATCCGAGTTGATTCGATTCCTAGCAATCCTATAGGACAAAGTAGAACTGCTCCCTGGTGTTTCCAAGCGTGTCCATCTTTAAGGGAGGACAGAGCCCCATCTTTCCCCAATGAATGGCTGGGTGAATTCACCCTCCTAACCTTACAGTTGGCAGCTCAACTCATAATCCAGTAGGCCACTAGGCTCCTGTGCTTGGCACATAGTACATGCTAAAGAAACGGTTGCTATTGGGTCACTCACTGATGTTGACCCTCTGCACCACAGAAGGAAATGCTGCCCAATGTGATCTATTGGGTTTTCATTGGCTGAATTTTGGGAATAGGTGGTCAAATCTTCCTAGTCTGTTTTAATCTGTTGAAGCCTGTCCGGCAACACCCAAGCCTTCATTGACAGATGAATGAGGTCGATGGACCAGGAATCCAATCTGGGTTTCCCATGGAAGGTGAGACGTCTACCACTGAACCACTAACCGTCTCATAAATGGTAACTATTTTCATTGTTATGTCTAGAATAATGCAAGTTAGGATTAGGGCATTCTAAACAGGGACTGTGTCTAGTTTACTTCAAACTCTAGAAAGGTAGGTTGTCAGAGATCTCTCCTGGGGGCCCCACACCCAGTTCCACTCAATGAAAGGACCATTCATAGTAATAGCATCCTGTTTAGGGAGTCAGGTCACCCAGATTCAAGTACCTGCCCTCTGCTAGGAGGTGAAATCCCAGACAGGGATGCTCACATTGCTAAGCGACCAAAACGGGTATAACACTGCTGAACTTTGCAGCCACTAAGCCACTAGGGTTCCCTAGGCAGAGAGAAAGGAAATTCAGATGTTTTTCTGACTCCCCAATAAGTCCCGGTGGCTTATCACTCTACTGGAAGTCTTAGCACCATGACCTAGGAAGAGGGTATTCGCTGGAGGGGGGGATGTGGAAGAGGGCCCTCCTTAGGAAACTGGCGGCTTCGAAGGAGAAAAGCAGCTGGCCTGGGTGGGAGGGCTGCCTCGGTGTCCCCGGAGTTTAATGAGCCCCAGCGCTCTGTGTGGCCACTTCTCACCACCTTTTATTTGGTCAGACAGGGCGTTCAATACCTCTTTAGTTCCGCGGAACTCCCACACGGGAGCTGCTGAAGGAGAAAGCTTTTTGCAAATGATTGGAAAGCCCTTTGCAAATATAAAGTGCTTATTTAGATGCAAACTGAAAATCCGAGGTGCCTGTGACTCATCTGGTACTTATTGTGCTGGCTGCAAAGACGCGGAGGCTTGCCTGTGTGATGGGTGCCACTGGAGAGCCACTTAAAGAACTCCCTGGTGAATGAATTTGGTTGCATTATCCCCAGGCTCCTCACGGAGGGCGGGCTCCCATCCCCACCACTCTGAGCTGGTCCTCCTGCCCTGACTGCCCGGCCCTCTCCTGGACGTAGTAGTTCGGATCCAGGATGCACTCTCAGGGGCTGGCCCGTGGCAGAGGCTAGGAGTTAAGTGGCGGTGGGGGCTTGTCCTCCCTAGGAACTTCCTACTCTGCTTTGAAGAAAAGAAAAGATGGCATTCTAGCATCCAGAGCGACGCCTAAGAATCTCACGACAATAGTCTCACTTGCTTTCAAAAGCCCCTTTATCATACCCTTTCCCCCCTACGGTCCTGCCCACCCTGTTCCTGCAAACCAGGGCTTCACAACCCCAAAGTGCTGAATCCATGTGGTCAAGTTTGTCAAACCGGTGACTGGCATTGTGTGAACACCAAAGGTTTGCATGAATGACTGCATTGTTAATAAATCGACCACTCTGGCATCACATGAACAGAACTCAATGCTCAGTGTATTCTTAACTGCAGTTAGAGATCATGGAGACAGCTTGTCCGAGGGTTATTTTCATTCCTGGAATGGGGTCTGGCAAGGATTGGCTCATACTGAAATACAAGTCAATGAGGCCACCTCCATGGCACGGTAGGCATGGCTTGTCCTTCCGCTTTTCAGGTAGGTGAGTGCTAGGCATTCTGGGAATTTTCCTAATTGAGAGAGAACCCAATTCCAGGTTTCCCCAAGGTTAGCTGCCTCTGAAGTGGTGAGAGTTACAGCAAAGTGGTGCTCTTGTGTAATTTAGGAAAAGGTGGCCCCTCCCCTCTGGCTGGCAAATTGCAAAATGCCATGTTCTCTAGGCCGACTCCAGGACTGACATGGGATGTACCAGCTGATCTCAGTTCCCACATTCTTGGACTGCTTCCTACCCCATGTGGACGGAAACATGTGGGAAAAGGAGGCAAGCACACGATCAACAAGGTGGGGAGCAGGGGGAGAACCAGGGGAGTTGGGAGGGGGCTGCCCCAGTTCCTGTCCTAGAAGCTCTCTGTAATTACAACCTGTCTCTCTTTCCCTCCAAGACGGACTTCTTGGAGATGCATGAACACTGGCTGATGGGAGGTAGTGACCACTGAGTTTAGTCTACGTTGTTTAAGGCTCTGTAAGAGACACAGCAGGGGATACTGATAGGTGATGATGAAACAGACCAGACACTGTTCCCTGCTTTTGTAAATCAGATATTCCCAACAAACTGCATGGGATGGCCAGAAATCACATAAAAGGCTTGAAGGTGATTAGGGGAGTTGTGTTCTCAGAGAACAGGAATGTTTTGTGGATTCTCTCATCACCCCTTCACTTTTCAACAGCTTTGTGGAAATAGAATCCACATCCCACACAATTCACCTTTTAAAATATGCAATTACCAGTGAATTATATGTTAGCCTATTTACAAAGTTATATAATGATTTAGTGTATTTTCAGGAAATTTAGTATATTTACAGAGTTATGCAATCATATAGATGCCTTATATTTTGAAACATAGATAGGATTAGGATTAGTTCCAACATTTTGGACGTGTTCTCTAATTTTCCTTCTTAGTGTCTTAGTTTCCTTCAAGGAATATACATGGAAAGGTCTTTCAGTTGACCGACTGGTGCACAGTATCAGCATAGCACGGTGTCCATTCTTTGGTTGCTATTAAGTGCCACGGAGTTGAGTCTGGTACATACTAGGCCCAGTTGACCAAGTGGAACTGCCCCATCGAGTTATCTCTAAGGGAGCAGATCCATAAGACCTTTTTTTGTTGTTTTTGTTTTTTTATGTCATCCCACAGCTCATCGGGTCTTCTCTCTTTAGTTTTCTTTTTTTTTTTAACATTTTATTAGGGGCTCATACAACTGTTATCCCAATCCATACACACATCAATTGTGTAAAGCGTACCTGTACATCATTTCTCAAAACATTTTCTCTCCATTGAAACCCCCGACATTAGGTCCTCATTTTTCCCCTCCCTCCCCACTCCCCCCTCCCAAATGAGCCCTTGATAGTTTATAAATGGGTATTTTGTCATATCTTGCCCTGTCCGACGTCTCCCTTCATCCACTTTTCGGTTGTCTGTCCCCCAGGGAGGAGGTCACACACAGTTCCATGTAATTGGTTCCCTCTTTCCTACCCATTCTCCCTTTACCCTCCCTGTTTCGCCACTCACACCACTGGTCCTATAGGGCTCATCCATCCTGGATTCCCTGTATTTTCAGTTCCTATCTGTACCAGTGTACCTCCTCTGGTCTAGCCAGACTTACAAGATCAAATTTGAGTCATGGTAGTGGGAGCAGGGAGGAAACATTTAGGAACTAGAGGAAAGTTGTATTTCTCATCATTGTTACATCGCACCCTGACTGGCTCATCTCCTCACCGAGACCCCTCTGCAAGGGGATCTCCAGTGGCCTACTAATGGGCTTTGGATCTCCACTCCGCACTCCCCCCCATAAGACATTCTTCCCAGAACTTCTGTGTAGATTTGAAGCACCAACCTGTATGTTAGCAGCTTAGCACTTCACCATTGCCCCACTAGGGTTCCTATTCTTTGGCTATTGTTCAAAATCCTCATTGAGGTCATGAAAGGATGTTTAGAAGTGTCCTGCAGAAGGCACAAGGCTGAGCCATGTGAGACTGAGCTAGAGTGAGGGCAGCGGTTCACGCTCTCCCAGGTGGATGGAGCAGGGACCGCTGTAAGGCAGGGGTTGGGCTGCTAACAGTGACATGGTCCAAACCCATCAGCCACTCTCAATAAACAGAGAAGGCTGTCTGCTCCGGTAAAGATTTACAGTCTCAGAGTCCCCACCGGGGATCACTGTGAGTTGAAATCAATTCACTGACAGTAGAGTTGGCGGGTGAATTTAGGTGAATGAAGGGAGGTCAAAATCAGAGGAATCTACTCCAGCGACTGAACAGGCATTTAAGCGTCACACAATTCCTGACTTGTGTTCCTTCACCCTGAGAAAAACAGAGACCACAGTCTTCCTTTCTGAGGTTGCCTTCCTCCCTCATTCACTTCCCTCCCTCCTCCCTCTTTGCAAATCCTCTCTTGCTTCTTTCTTGTCTCTCTTCTCCCTGCCCTACCCCCAAAGAAACCCCCCACAACCGCAGGAACATCTCCTCTCTAAGCCCCCAACCCCCACCCCCCACCCCGCTGCCTCCCCCATCTGCTCACTTCTTGTTCTTCGCCTCCTACCTCTTTCCTCCCAATTAGAAACCAGAAAAGCCCCAAGGCAGGGTGAAAAGTAAAATCAGAATCCACTTTCAGGAGCAGGGGCAGGAGAAAGTCAAGGAACGTTTACAGGATAGTTATTTCTCTTTAATCACAGGGCTTTATGTCACCCACAAAACAGTCTAAGAGAAAAGGAGAAGAAAATGCCTCAGAAGGCAGGCCGTGCAGGTTCCACCTGTCTGTGGCCTCAGTGCGTTCAAATGCAGCCTGCGGCTCCTAGACCACCAAGGTTCCCTCCTGCCCGCTTGTGGGTCTCCTCTCTGGAATGGGAATCCCAGCCCTACCTGTCAATGCTGATGGCACACAGGTTCAGGATGCTGGCAGTGCACATCATGACGTCCAGAGTGACAAAAACATCGCAGCAAACTCGGCTGAAATTCCAGACTCCACCTGTTACCTGGGCGTCAGAGACAAGGATATTAGTGTTTCCTCTAGCAAAGGAACAGCAATTTAATCAACTCAATGGCCTCCTGCCACAGATGCTGAAATGCCTTCTCGGTGGTTGGTGGCATCATTACCACAGGGTGGGCAGGCATTGAGGGAGTGCCAGGCTGCCCAAGATTAGACTGTTAGGACATTAATGCTGGAAAGGATCTTGGTAATCTACTCATGTTTCTCTAAGTGTGGTTCACGGTAAGGTGACTGTGTAAGATTGCGGAACCCTTCCCTAGACCTACTGAGTCAAATCTCTAGATCTGGGCTCATGAATCTTCATTTTAAAATAAACACCCTCAGTCACAGCAAGGTTTGAGAAACCAGGAGGCAACTAATGCTGGCTGTGGTTAAGTGATATGCCTATAGAGGCACAGCTGGTAGTAAAAGAGCTGGGATACCTGCCAGATGTGTGAGCTGTGCCAAAATGCCACTAGGAAGCCCTCCACCCAGTAGAGAGCTCACCATGTACCCAGGAAATAAACCAAGAGCACTTTTTTCATAAAACTTACCTCCAGGAAGAAAATAGATCTGGCTCCTGGGTTTAAAGCTTGGAAGCACCTGGCAACATCTTTAAGATTTTTTTTGTAAAATAGGTCTATGCCTGTCTTGGACACCCTTGTCCAATCACCAGATAGTCAAGGCAAAGACTCAGTCCAGGGAATTGGGAAGAACAAAGAGCCTTCTCTACCACACACACCAAATTGGTGAGGATGATCCCAACTTCAAGCATTTACACATGTTCTGAGCTCTCTCATTTACCCTTGCTCCACAGGCAGGACTTCAGAAAATTTCATTTATAGCCCCTTGTTCTTGTGAGCTGCCATGGAATTGGTTATCTACTCATGGTGACTCCACGCATGGTGCTGCCTGATGCTGTGCCTTGTCCAGGCTCTGCCACTGTGGTCCTTAGGGTTTTCATGGCTGAGCTTCAGAATGGGATCACTTGGCTCTTCTTCCTAGTTCATCTTAGTTTGGAAGCTCTGTTGAAACATTCGGCATCATGAACCCATTGCCCTTCAGTTGGTTCCGACTCAATGTGTGACCCCATATGTATTAGGCTGGGTACTTTAGAGAAATAAACCCACAGAAACTCATGAATAAGAGAGAGTTTTATATAAAGGTTAAGTGCACATCAAGAAAACATCCCAACACAGTGCTGCCCAAGCCCACAAGTCCAACATTAACCCATATGTCTGACACCAATCCATACAGTCCTCCTCCATCTCACAAAACACACACAATGATGCCGACTGCAGGAGGAAAGCTAAATCAGTGAATGTGTAAGCATCTCAGCGCTGGCAGGGGTCTCCACACGGCTGCTCCAGCACCCAGGGCTGCATCGGAGTAGGTCTATGTGGCTTCTCCTCAGGGATGTCTTGCAGGAAGTGAGCCCTGCCAGCTGACGCAGGGAACTGGCTAAGGCAGCTGCACCCTGATCTGACCATCACAAAGCAAGAAACCCGAGTGAGCCCCACTGAGCCATTTATCCCTCCGCCTTTCAATTAACCCCACACGTGTTTATCAGCCAGGTTAGCACAATAAACTAACTACCTCACCATAGGACAGAGTCGAACTGCTCCACAGGATTTCGAAGGCTGTTGTCTTGATGGGAACTGACTGCCACATCTGTTTTTCTGAAAGCAGCATGTGGGTTTGCACACGAGTTGCAGTCAAGGTCTCTCAATTTGAAAGGTGAGAAATCTGCCACAGACCCACCAATTCCTCATAATCTCAAGTCTAGCCTATTTTTATTTAACTTCCTTTTTCTTTTACACACTTAGTTGAACCGGGAGATGGGTTAGGAAGATGGTTACTAGCAGAATAACCCCAAATGCCATTCTTCAGTTGGGGAGCATTTCTGCCAGCTACGTTTGCCAGCTACCTCTTGTAGGGTTGTCATTTGGGGGAAGAACTCTTTTAAGTGGGATGCCCTTGGGGGTTGCTGGATCTTCATGATACTGCTATTATTATGGCTTAATACTCTCTCTTAAATGGCTATTTAAGAGATAGGGAGAGTTAAAAAAAAAGGTATTGTTGCTTCTGAAATAGAATTTCAAAGGAAAAATAACCAGATATAACTCAAATGATTGTACCTGACAATGGTGCTGTTCCTCTGTGCAGTATTCTCATCTAAGAATCGTGTGTGTGACCAGCCTGAGTTCATGGCCCTTTCCAACTTTGTCCTATTACAGTAAGGCCCTAAAAGCAATCTGCACTTTCCCATGTAATTTCTTCCCCTTTGGCTTTATTTTTCACTCTTCTATTTTATCTGATATTTAGGACTTTTTTCTTCTTCGTCTTTCAGAAACCAAAGATATTTTGACCAAAGATATTTTGATTAAAAGCAAAAATGAAAAAATTCAAACTAACAATGAAGTCATTCCATAAATAAGCAAATGTGAATTTATAGCAGTTCTATTAAGGAAAAACAAATTAAAGGGAGATGTGAGAATTCTGAGCTCAAACCATAATAAACACAATGATTTAAGGGAGGCAAGAGAATTAAAAAATGGATTTCTTTATTGCAAAGGACAGATGCATACTAGAGAAGCTTCTTGAAAAAGCTAGATTTTGTATACTAAATCTCAATTTACCTTCGTGTCTATGATGCAATGGGTGTCTTAAAAGATAATTTTTGCATCATTGTGAGCTCGTGTTTGTGAGTGGGTTTTGAGACGGCTGCAAGAGCAAACTCCACTTCTTGCTGGACGTTCACTCATTCACTCACTCATTCATTCACTCAGTCATTCATTCATAACACAAGTATCTGTGAAATCCTTAATTCTTGGTAGAAGAAAGGTAGATGATGTGCTTTAAGAGATTTTTAATAAATGTCCTACCGGCCTTGTCCTCGAAACACGTGCAGCATTATTGGGGAAACAAGGCATGCTTAAATAAAATAACACGATGATTGTGGGATACTTGCCATGCTAATGTAAACTAATATTCACAGACAACTCACTTCACATAGGTCACTGAAACACAGGCTCATTCCAGGAATTCCTGGGGGTGGGAAATTATTATTATTTTAACTGTCTGTGTCCATAGGGGTTTGAGGATGAAGCATCCACTTATTTTACAGACACTTAGAAGTGACAGTTCCTTAACCCACTGATGGGAACAGAGGCTTTTGCCTTCTCATTGCTATGTCCCAGCCTCCTGGAGAAGTGCTCAGCTTGTGGATACATTCTGAAAGAATCAACGGTCTGTGCCATGCTCTTTATTAATATCAATAAATAAAAACGTCAATGCCATCTAGTCAATTCTGACTCACAGCCACCCTTTGGGGCAGAGTTGAACTGCCCCCGGGGGTCTATCTATCTTGATGAGAGTACAAAGCCTCAGCTTTCTCCTATGGAGAAACTAATAAGTTTGAAGGGCTCCTTAGGGTTTGGACACGCCTTAGGATCCCCAAACTGAACCCATGACACCATGAGGGCTCCGAATACAAAGAGCTAGCATTTCTTGAATGCTTATGAAGTGCCTCACTGAATTATGGTGCTGGTGAAGAATATTAAAAGTAGCATAGACTGCCCAAAGAGGAAGCAATTCGGTCTTGGAAGAAGTACAGCCAGAAGGCTTCATAGAAGCAAGGATGGTGAGACTTCATCTCATGTACTTTGGTCAGGTTACTGGGAGAGACAAGTCCCCGGGGAAGGCTATCATGCTTGGTAAAGCATCGGGGCAGCAGGAAAGAGGAAGACCCTTGATGAGATGGATGGACCCAGTGGCTGTAATCAGGGGCTCACACAGAAGACCCATTGTGAGGATGGCACAGGACTCCGCAGGGCTCCGTTCTGTTGTGCACAGGGAAGCGATGAGTTGGAACTAACTGGAGGACGTCTACCACCAACCACGATGCAGTGCCGAGCCCTCTGCAGAGCACTTTACACGCATGCGTTCTGCGGCCTGTTATAATCCGACGAAGGATGACCCTTCGTATCTTAATTGGCGCCAAGAAACTCAAGCTTAGAGATACTGAACACCTTGCCAAAGGTCACACAGCTAGCAGAGGCTGAGCCGATCTTTGAGGGAAGGTTGTCAAGTGCCCTACTATAGTGAAGTGCTTGTCATGGAGGGGAGGTGATGGGAAAATGGAGTAAGTGAGGGGCCAGAGGGGGAGGGAGAATATCTGCTTATCAAGGATTACCTCGTGGCCAACTGTTTCATCTCAGCCTAGGGAATGAGATATTTCATTATTTTTTTAACCTGGATGTCTCCGTCCCAGGGTTTGAAAACAAAACAAAGCCATATAAAATAGTCGTGGTTGTTGCCTCTGCAGCCCATGTGAGATTTCATACTTCGTGGCTACTTTGATATCAGCCTTCTTTAGCCTCCAAGAGCAAAAAGCCCCCAACCTGTCCTTTGGCTTCTTGGCCCCCACTGTGTCCTTCTATTTAGGCTCTCCTTGGCTGTCTTCAAGTTTCTCCCACCCAAATTCACATTCTCACCTTGATCGCTCTGTTAAGTAGCAAGAAGAAAACAATCTGAGTAGTTGATTAAAGGGATTCCCACTAAGGCAGTGGTTCTCAACCTGTGGGTCACGACCCCTTTGGGGTTCTAACGACCCTTTCACAGGGGCCGCCTGATTCATAACAGTAGCAAAATGACAGTGCTCAAGTAGCAACGAAAATAATGTTAAGGTTGGGGGTCCCCACAGCATGAGGAACTGTATGAAAGAGTCTCAGCACGAGTAAGGTTGAGAACCACTGCTCTAAGATGTCATCGCCTAGACTTCCCTGGAGCTTACTCATTTAAATGAGTTTCTAATTGATGGGATATAAAATGGAAACATATATATATATATATATCCTTCCACACCATTGAAGGCAAAGTGCCAAGAATATCCTAGCTAGCTTACAAATTACCTTATAGGACTCAAGAATATATAAATATTATTTCCAATTTTTAGACAGAGGCATTACTGCTTAAACTCCCTGGGTGGTTTAGGCAGCACAATGG